TTATTAGACTACATTTTCATTTTTAAATTTTTTGGGGACCACACAAGATTGAATCTTGTCGCCCGCCCCTAAATCTAGCAATATCAATCCTATCATGAGTCGGCATTCATCACGCGTCGCGGTTGGTAACCGTACAGGACCATTGCCTTCGGGTGCAGGCAAAAGGGCGGCTTAGCCTGCACGAAGCAGCTATAGCTGCTGCTGAGCTATAGCTGCCGCTGCACCCGGGTGGTTCGTGCCGCACATGATCTTGTCTCTGGATTCGCCCGATTATCAGTGATTTTCGCCCATGTTTCTGATCCATGAAGTGCTCATACCTTGGGTGGGTTGTGCACGGCAGTGCCTTCCTCCGTTTCGCCTCAGAGATCTCTCCACGCAGCCCTAATCCCTCTCTCGTTGCAGGGAGACGCAGGACAGGTAGGCAAGATTCTACGGAAGATACCACCCCTCTGGCGGACTTTACGCTCCGAGGTCCGTCGCGGGTGCGATCCCTTTCACCTTTTCAACGCCACTATACTTTAGAGGTGTCCACGACGATTCTATAGAGGGCTGCCCTAATTTTGGATCGCAACTACAGCCGGAGCTATTGAGAAACTTCGGTTGGTCGCTATGGTGAAGGCCAGCTGCGAGGGGTTCCGTGAGTCATTGGTCGAGAACAAAAAAAAGAAAAATGGGGTGTACGGAGCCCCTTGCAACCCGGGTGGCGGGCGAATGCGCCTCCGTCGTTCTACTTTAGCATACCTCGACTATCTACTCTGTCGACCCCCCTCGTCTCGCCGACAATCGTTCCACCGCTCGGCAGCTCCTCTCTCGCCCCATTCTCATTGCCCACAACCGTGCAACTTTTACTCAAGACCCCGTGGACCATCCTTGGGAAACAGTAAACCTCCGACCTAGAGGTTGCGGAGGTAAAAAAGCCTTCCCTATCTATGGCGGACCCGTTCGATGTTCGCGCTCAGGGTGCCCCCGCTCCGCACAGCGGAGCTGGACAGCAGCAACAGAGCTCTTCCTCACCGCGGCCTGGCTGGCCTGGCGTGAATCGCCACGCTGCTGCTACATCATCGTCATATTCTTTTAGTGCTGGTCCTCCTCCTGCTGCTACGATCACTCAGCTGCAGCAGCATCGACAGCCTCCGTATGGCGGCCTGCACTACCAACAGCAGCAGCAGCAGCAGCAGCAGCAGCAGCAGCAGCAGCAGCAGCAGCAGAATTTTCAAATGGGTCATGGTCATCATCATCATTCTTACTCGCTTGGTGGCAGCGCCACGACGTACCCAGCGGGGCAGCAATCGCAACAGCAGCAGCAGCAGCAACAGCAGGACATGATGATGCCGATGGCAGCGGCATCAACGGCAGCGCTATGGGGTCGCGGTGGTGGCGGGTTCAACGCCCCCTCTGGGTTGTTCCGCCCAGCAGCATCAGGACAGAACCCGAACTTGCCAGCAGGCGGTGTGGCTACCTCAGCGCTCCCTCATGACCCAGCCACCGGCGGGAAGAAGAGTACTACTGCTGTCCCCGCCCCGAGTCCCGCGCCGCAGGTTACCGCCGGCAGCGGCGGTGGCGGTGGCGGTGCGGAGTGGATGCCGCCGCCCGAACAGGTTCCGGAGTACGACGCTCTGTTTCGGAGTGCCTCCGCGGGATGCGCTGTGCCCGGGACGGTGTCCGGCAGGATCGCCGTGCAGTTCTTCAGCCGTTCCGGGCTTTCGAAGGACGTGCTGAAGACGGTGAGGCAGAGAGAGAGGGAGAGAAAAGGGGGGGGGGGGCGCTCACTGACGTTTAGATAAACGGTCGTGTGACGTGATGCCCCGCAGACCAGCAGGGGAGCTTGCGGGAGCGGTCGGTTGGTGTGCGGCCAAAGCCGTGGTGCTTCACAGCAGTGTAGCCTCGCAATCCCGCTCCAGTTGGTGGAGACGAATAGGATCATGCCCTCCGAAGTCCGCTCGTTTTCACGCAAGTGAGACCTGCAATACCAACCACGACACCCTCTCTGAACTTTTCGGGGATAAAGGCCGATGATATTCCATCGTAAGGCAGACCTCGCAGCTGACTGACCGCCCGCTCACTTTGCTCGCTTCACCCCCTGTGTAAAAACAGATCTGGTCCCTGTGTGACCCCTCCCTGACCGGGTCCATTGGCCGGCCGGGGTTCTTCGCTGCGATGAGACTCATTGCCCTGGCCCAACAGGGATCCCTGTCGTCCCAAGGGACGGCCCCCCTCCCTTCGATCTCCGCGCTCGAGGCGACGAGGCACGCACGGTTACCTCTGCCGCGCATGGGAGGGTTTCCGTCAGGCTTTGGTGTTGGCGCTGACGGTATTGTTGGTGGTGGTGGAAGCGACAGATTGCCGTCTGCGTCGTCGGCCGCTGCTCCGGCTGTCTTGTCGCCCTTCGCCGTCGCCGCTGTGGCATCGCCGTCGTCTGTGTTTAGTAACACCTTCCAGGCTCCGCCGCCCACCGCTGTTGGTCCGGGAAGCGAGGTGAGCATGGGCACTATCAACGCGGTCTGGGGCACTGCTGCGGATGAACCGAGAACAGAGAGCGGCCAACAGCGGCCTCTTCCCGCCCACGAAGCGGTCGCGTCAGCACCAGCGACATCGGCCAGCGAGGACGACGACTTCGGAGAATTCGCGGGCTGCCAGGAAGAGCCACAACACCCAACACCGCCGACCGACCAAAGCCAAGATGACGACTTCGGTGAGTTTTCGGGGGCTCCTGGTGACGCCCCGGCGACGGCGGTAGCTTCGCCAGGGTTCCTGGCAGCGGAAAGAGGCGCGAGTCCCGTGGCCACCAACGCTCCGAGAACGGCTGAGCCTTTCGCGAGTGGGGCGGCAGCAGCCGGAGGCGACGCGTGGATGATGGGAGGCGGCCGAGGCGGCCGAGGCGGCTCGGTGGGGTCGACCGTCGATAGCGTCAAGGGCGCAGGGGGGGGAATAGGAGGAGGAAACCTTGATGATTTGATCAAGACCAACGTACAGGAGGCAGGCGCGGGGCCGGTGCACCTTTCGGACATGGTGAGCTAAGAACCAAGTGATCGCTCCGTCGTCTACTGCTGTGCCACAGGCCACTTTTTCGCCTTCTCGCGGAATGGATAACCAAGTGATTCCGCTATTTTATTTGTCTCGCTCGGGTTGGGGGTCTCAAGATATGAGTCGGCGTTTGGTTGTGCCCTGCTGTCCCGTACCTGGTACAATAAACGATGAAAACTCCTTCACTTCTCGAGCGCAAAATGCTGGAAACTCATTCGTCGTGTATCGCATGACCTCACGGAAACTATCGGAGTCTCGGGGCACTCCCGTGCCAAGACTCCCGATCTCTCTGTGACGATTGAGCCACAATCGCTTGGTTCTTGTTGGAACCTGTTTGCCAAGCTCCGCTCCTCGCGGTAGTATACCGGTACGGTTGACGTCAAGGCCGGGTGTTTAAGCGAGATTCAGCTACCTTGGCACGACCGCCGGTACCGCGATGGGCCGCTACTGCTGTCGTCGAACGCTCTCGTCACCTCCCTCTTGCATGCACCCACCTGAATATCTGTCCTTCTCCCCATGACCACCATGCCGCCTTGAAGGAGATGACGACGCCGCCGCTCGCGGAGAAGGCGCACAACCCCGTCATGGTGGACAGGTATGCCGGACCCGTTTTTGCCTCTGCGGTTGCCGATATCACGCTCTAGAGGTCGTATGCACGGCGCTACCGGTTCCTTCCCACCCCCTGCCGGAATGTGCCTGTTGTTCACAGCATGACCCCCATGCCTCGCGCACAAGGGCTTCCAACCCGCGATCCCCGCGCTCGAACGCGTGGCGAACATTTGTCAACACCACCCGTTTTAAACCCACCCATGCTTGTCGTTTTATAGATTTTCCGTCTCTTGGTGTATGTGAGAGCGAACAGGACGTCAGCTTACCCAGGGAGATTTTTGTTGAGGCTGTTCTTTTTTTCTCTCTCACACACACCATATTCCTCTCGCCGTGCACTCCGCCTTCGTTCGGATTGCCCCAGAGCCTCGTCGTCCCGCACCAAGCTGTCCGTGTTCGACGAGATGGCTGACCTGGACCTGGCCGTGGGGCAGGAGGACTGGAACGACTTCGCCGACGAGACCACGGCACCGCCCCGCTCTCCGACCCCTTCCCCACCGCCTTCGCCCCCTCCTCCACCTACGGCTACAGAAGAAGTCGTCAAAGCTGCCGTCGTAGAGGAGCCTGCAATAGACGATGCGATTTGTAATAGCGACGCTGATATTCGCGGGGAGCCCCGGCCTCTCGATCAGGATCCGGGAGTTGGGAGCGGCGCCGGCGGCAGCAGTAGCCCGGCGGCGTTGGCCGAAGACGAGCAGAAGCAGCAGCAGCAGCAGCAGCAGCAGCAGCAGCAGCCGCATGCGTGGCCTGGCTTGGAGCAGCAGGGGATGCCACTGTTCTCGTCGGAGGGGGCTGTAGCAGCGTCAGCCCACGCGTCCATCGCGGACGGCGCGGCACCGGCGGCGGCGGCAGAGGGGGCACAAGGCCAGGACGACGAATGGGGCGACTTCTTAGATGCGACGGCGGAGGGGGAGGGGACGACCGGGCAGCAGCACCTGGCCGGTCCCGAAGGCGAAGCAACGGCAGTTAGAGAGGACAACGCGGCAACAAATAATGCCGCTGCTGCTGCTGCTGCTGCAGATGAGGATGATGGCGATGAAGAGTGGGGAACTTTCGCTGACGCGCCCGAGGCGGCGGCGGGGGAGGAGGCCGGGTTGGCTATTGGCGACGCTAGCAGCACCGGCGGCTCGCGGGAGGCACCGCCGGAAGAAGCGGTCGACCCGTTTGCGGACATCGAGCCTACGACCCCGCCTCCTCCTCCTCCTCGACCCCCCACGGTCGGGGCGACGGCGGAGGATGAAGAGGCTGGGAGGCTCGGAAGCGAAGAGGAGGACGGTTCAGGGTCGTCTCCGAGCGGGGCTACGGCAACGACGACAGTGACGGCGCCGGGGCTCCCTCTGTCCCTGCGCGGTCTACGGGATGCGCTGGCGAAGCAGGGGCGACTGGAGGAAGCCGTCGAGGTGCAGCGACGAATGGAGCTACCGTCATCGCCGCCGCGGACGATAGACGTCCCGTATTCGCCTGAAGACGTAACGGCCGAAGACGCGAACGCCCATGCAGACGGCGGCGGCGAGGCAGAGGACGCCGACCTCGAGCGGTGGCGAGGTGCTGCTGCAGGAGACCTCCGGCCGTTTCCTACGGTGGAGGACCTCGCGGCAACGATGTCCGCGGCCGATGCCGCTCGGGGGGAGAAGTTTCGAGAGAGGTTCGTCCGCGGGCGGCCGCCGGTGGAAGAGGAGGCGCTTGCCGGCGGCGGGGGTGCCGCGGCGCTTGACGTAGCGGTGAAGCGGCAACGTTCCGCGCGGCGAGCGGTGTGCCTGCTGTCGATGCTGGACGCGGCTGGTACGGCGGGTGATGGCGCAGCCGACAAGGATGTAGAAGACGGGAGAGATAGAGGGCTGACCAGCGGCGGCGCCGTTGAGAAGGAGGAAGAAGATAAGCTGGAGCTGGATCTAGGGTTGGACACGCGGCGGGCGAGGTCTCCCCCTAGCTTGGCCGACTGGGCGGCCATGATGTCGTACGTCACTAGCATGGCGGGGAAAGGGATCGAGGCCCTAGCGGGCGGTGGTGCCGGCAGCGGCAGCGGTAGCGATCGCGCGGCAGCGACACCAGCGTCTCTCACGCGACCGTCGTCGCCTTTTTCCCGCCCCACCACGGAGCGAGAGGGCGCTGATTGTCGTGCTGAGATAGATTCCGCCGGGCTCCCCCCGGATGCCGCCGCGCTCGCCAGCGACGGGGGGGCGGTGAGGAGGGAGGTGGCCAGGTCCCAAGAGTTCGAGTCGTTTTGTCGGGGCCTGCGGGAAGCGATCAAGGTCTGCCGGATGCTTCAGGCGTCGGCCGAGGACGCCTGCTGCCTCCAAGGGGTGGACGGCTTCGCCGCGATGGAGCGGGCCTGGGCGGAGCTGCGGCGGTCCGCCCGGGAGGCAGCGGCGGCGGCGGCGGCCGGCGACGACGACGGCGGCGGCGACCTTCCCTCCGTTTTCGGGGTTGAGGACGGCGAGGAGGGAGTTTGTATGGAGAAGGAGGCCCAAGGGGTGGGGGGGTCTCCTGGCGCCGCCTCTGGGTTAGTCGGAGGAAAAGGCGAGAGGACCGCCGTTGGTGGCGGTGTCGCTCCTGCGGGTAGTAGTATCGTGGCGGCCATCAGGGAAGCCTGCGTCGAGACCGCGCCGCCCGCGGAGGATTCGGCGCTCTGCGGCGTGAGCCTCCAGCCGTTGGCGGTTTTTAGCGGTGGTGCCGGCGGCGGCGGCGGCGGCGGCGGCGGCGTTGAGCCGCCGGGTGTCGTGGAGTACTGCGGGGTGCGGTACTTGGCTTGCGCATTCAACCTGTGGGTGAACGTGTTGGACAAACCGCCCCCGAGACCGTCGCCCGATAAGAGAAGAGTGTCCTGATACCAGAGGTTGCCGGCGACCGCGTGTCGCGTCCCCCAACAGATGCTACTTCCTTAGAACCTTCTTACAGAAGCTTTTTATGCCGGCGATGCGGAGTCAACGTTGATCTCGTTGTGCGCAATGACGTGCACCGGGTTGAGGGAATACCACCACCCGGCCGAATCAATTTTCGGCGTATTCTTGCCGGTGTGGTGTGGTGGGTCCTGGTGTTGTTGTAGGGGTCGAATTTGGCGTGTTTGTACGTACAATTTGGGTCTTCCGGACCGGGATGAATCGGGTGCGAAAGCGTTTACATCGGGCCAAGGAAAGCTCTTGCGGGTGTTGTGCCGTGCTCTATCTACCACCGACTGCTGTGTACTGCGACGACCACCTGGCCCTCTCCACTTGAGCTTTAAACGGCTCCGGGGTCGTAAGTTTGTGTATCGCGCCGCTTGAAGCCGGTCGCGGTGGAGTTCCTCAATGAAATGAACCAACGCAAGGACCAGCTTCAGCGGCAAGTAGCTTTTCACTACGCATGAAATGAATAATTATGCTACCACAGAGTTCGCATGCCAACGCATTATGTACTGCAGCAACAGGTGCCCCCTCAAAGCATGTCCAACTCCTGCACAAGGTCACATGCAGGGAGCAATGCACTATTTTGTGCTGGTTGGGTGTAAAACACATGAGATAGTCCAGTCCACGACCCTCCTCCTTTTCGTCGAACCCCCCCCCCCCCCCCCCCCCCCCCCCCCCCCCCCCCCCCCCCCCCCCCCCCCCCC